CTCTAAGTTACAGGTTCCTGGGCTCAGCTCGTAAACAGGCTTTAGGTGATAGAAGTAATTCTTAATGGAACACAATGATTATTCTAGGAATACCTTTCTGTAAATGCTAGCTGCAGCCTTTAAATTACTTATTACTATTGATGCATCCATGTAATTTGTTATTAAAGTGCAAGTGTCGATTAGGTGTGTAAAGTAACACTGAAAAGGAAGCGGTTCTGCCAGCCTCTCACTTTCGACCACTAAGAAGCTAAATGAGTCACTAACTTTCACACAACAATAGGCTCATTCTGCCTTACAGATTTTTTTATTTTTGGCAAATTATTATGTGCGCAGTATGTAAGTCTGTTCCTCTGTAATGCTTTCTGTGTTTGTCACATTAAAAAATAGTTTTCTTGAAGTTGTAACATTATTATTCAGGACAGTGCATGTGTTGGGCACTGATGATTGCGTCACTATAAGAATGTATTAAGAGGATAATCGAAGTAAGTTATGGTAAATGGGCTGATTCTTATATAGTATAGATTCTTTTCTACTCTCCCAGAGTACTCAAAGCGCTCTATACAACATGCCTCATTCACCCCCAATCTCACAAGCACTTCTAAACACAAGTGCAAACTAATCAACATTCACACTCCGATGAATGCACCCCAAGTTAGAATATAATGTGGAGTTTGTGGTGTGGAGTGCTGGGTCATTAAATGGTCATTGCATTTTCCAGTTCTCCATATTTTTGTCAGTTCGAAACACACCAGCATTTAGTTTGTGGTTATTTGACTTCTGCTGGCACACTCAATATCTTTTTTTGTTGAGGCCACCTGACACAACAGTGGTCTGTGCAGCAGTGCTTGTTAATGTCACTTGAACAATGTTACAGAGTCTTGGACTCTTGAGCTGAGGCAATATTTCACAAACCCACAGTTACTGTGTTACTAATATTGAAACTGCTTCTGTGTATCACATCTGTGGAAGGAGAGGAAACTGACCTTTTTCTAAATTGGGGAAGGACAAATTTAAATTTGCAAAGATCTTAAGATCTGCAAAGTCTGTTAGTTTTTGGAGCATTTTAGTCAAAGAATCAATGG